TCACCAAAGTGATAAACGTCTAAGACCTTCATCACGCTGGATTTTCCTCCGACATGAAGCTGACGCGTGATATAACGGGAATACTGTTAAAAGCTACCTGACAGCTTGTATATTCCGCAGCATGTATCGGACACCGCACCACGTGCTGCAATAGACCACCTGTCAATCAAATTGTGACTCCACAAACATCCCTGTGTATCTGTTGTCGCGGCTTCTGATTAGAACAGCTTGTTTCAGAGAGGTATGTCACGCATAATGAAAGTTCACGCAGTAAGAAATTCTAATTAATTCTTATTTAGTGCCGATGTCGTTTGTGTGTTCTTGCAGCTACTCTGCTTATATATAACACTTCAAGCTGCCAAAGTTGAAGATATATTCGCTTAACTCTCTCTCTCTCTCTCTCTCTCTCTCTCTCTCTCTCTCTCTCTCGCCCTCTCTCTCTGTCTCACTCTCGCCCACTCTCTCTCGTTCTCTCCCCCCTCTCGTGCTCTCGCTCTCTTTTTCGCCCTCTCTGTGTCTGTCTTTCGCTCTCTCTCTCTCTGTCTCTCTCTCGCCCTCTCTCTCTCTCTCTCCCTCTCTCTCTCTCTGATTAATGGGGTATGACCTTAAGCAACGCATGCTTGTCGTAACAGGCGACTAACGGGATCAGGTGTTGGTTGATGCATGTCGTCGTAACCAAATCGCGTAAGTCGATGCTCATGATGTCAATCACCGGTTTCACCACTCAGATTGCAGCACACAGCTCATTCATTCCGGAATCCACAGCAACCTATGCTTGTCGTAAAAAGCGACAAAATGGATCGAATGGTCAAGCTGGTCACTTGGCCGATCGCGGGTCATCGTATCCAAACTGCGTGGATCGCAATCACAGGATTGTCTGGCACAGTCTCGACTATGTACAGAGCGCCACCACACATCTGGAACACTGCTGAGTGCGACGTTGACAAAATCATCTTACAGATATATAAACTAAATAGAACAGGATGGACCGGGACAACTCTCACCTTGCATCTGGAAGTATATATCTATGAAGAGTTTACGTGGATGGATCCACTGAATCCTATGGATCTACATCCAATATTCCTAGAGACATATCAAGATTGTAGTGGGTGCCTTTGTCCGTCAAATCACGACTCTGCACACCGAGAATATATTAACACCGTAATAGAGCCGCAAATAGCAACATGAAAACTAGTTCCATTCATAATACGTTTACTATGATTTCAACAAGGCTGACTCCCTTCGCTACGGGCGTTCAAAATATGTCGCAAGGAACACTCCCACAATTCCCAATCTCCGTTCCTGTGAGCGTTGGGTCTGTCTAGATACGTAAAGAAAGCCAAACACAGTTGCCAAACAGTACCCCGTGTCTACATTTTGCAATCTTTATTTGTTCCAACAAACACTGGTCAGACTTAAAACACGGACAAATTAATATATGTTTGAGATCGGGGTCGCGTTGGAAACAATGACCACAGTGATATGATTATTGTGAAATCTAAACGCCAACTTTAATAGAGCGTTAGAAACAACCGCCATTGACAAGAGTCGCGTCCCTTTAGGAATAGGGTATTGTGAACATATTCCGTCTTATCTGCTAAGGACTGTAGACCGCCTCTGTGGTCTTGTGGTAGAGCGTCCGCCCGGAGAGCGGAAGGTCCAGGGTTCGATCCCGGGCCGCGTCATACAAAAAGACGTTAAAAGATTGTACTTGTTGTTACCCTGTCTGGCGCTCGGCATTAAGGGGCTAAAACAAGGACTGGTCGGCTCGGAGTCAGTATACTGTGTCTGAGTGGGGTATTCATGTTAAACTGCGGCATGGTATCTCAGTGAGCTAGCACTATAAATCGGCATCAGTCCAGACTAGTACAAGCAGCCACACACATACACATGCATGCACGTCGCTATATAAGTGCAATAATCTTGGACGCGACGTTAAACCCAATTTCACCTCACATCTATTACACCCCCGTCTGATTACGTCTTCCAAGTTCAGACACAACATACATGTCGTTCAGCATAACAAGCTCCAATTGTGTCGAACTATCCAAAATTAAAACAAAGTTACGTGAACTTTAATGATAGTTAGATAAACGCAATCATTTTGCTGACACTCCAATAGTTTGAGTATGGGTACTAAATCGTCCCATAGTCTTCCTTGAAAGGTTCCCCTCCCAAAGTTAAACAAGAGCGGTCACCCTCCCATAGTATAGCATAGTATAGTGAATATCACTTGAAGTTAAGACCCGTGAAGATCCGGGGTAGAATAGGTCTTCAGGAACCCATGCTTGCCGTAAAAGGCGACTATGCTGGTCGTAAAAGGCGACTAACGGGATCGGGTGGTCAGGCTCGCTGACTTGGTTGATGCATGTCATCGATCCCAATTGCGTGGATCGATGCTCATGATGTCAATCACTGGATTGTCTGGTCCAGACTCGATTATTTACAGACCGCCGTCATATAGCTGGAATTTTGCTGAGTGCGGCGTTAAACAACAAACCAACCAACCAACCAAATTTGAAGATTAGTTTGGTACATTAACTTGATCGAACTTTGTTTTAAGTAGGAGAAAGTCCTCAATTTCGCGAACAAGCTTCACGTGAGAAAATAAGCGCGAGATTTCGGACATTCTCCTATACGTAATGTCAACATTATGGAGCATCACCTTCCTCCTGGTGCCAGACTAACGTCATGGATTATTGGAGATAAAATCGGAACAGACACTGTTTGGTCGACCTCCATACATTATAGTTTGTTTGAATAATTTCACATTCAAGGCCATACAAACTACATTCGGACGGACGCTAAAACTCTTTGACGCTAACGTATTTTAATTTTTTTTTGGGTGCAACTCGGTTCTTATTCTACAGTTGTAGATCACAGTCGGGAAGCGATAATACACAAACAGCCAATTGACGCATTAAAAGGACCACATGATCCTCGTTATGAGGCTTTTAAGGCAACAGAAACAATGGTTCAGTACACAAAGGGCGTTTGTCTGGAGAGCGGAAGGCTAGTGGTTCTATTCCTGGCAGCGTCATACCCCAAAATTCGTTGAAAAATGGTATTTGCTGTTACCCTGCAATAGTCTTAACTAGTACAAACGCACACACACACACACACACACACACACACACACACACACACACACACACACACACACACACACACACACACACACACACACACTCACACGAACACACACACACACACACACACTCACACGAACACACACACACGAACACAGAACACAGAACACACACACACACACACACACAACCACACAACCACATACAAACGCAGGCACAGGCAGGCACGCACGCACATTCACACACAGAACCACATACAAACGCGCTCATGTACGCAGACAGACAGGCAGGCACACACACACACACACACACACACACACACACACACACACACACACACACACACACACAAACACACACAAACACATACATACACACACACATACATACATACATCCATGTTCATCGCAATAATCCTAAACGGCACATTGAACGCCATTTCCACTCACCTTTAGACAACAATTGTGTTCTGGAAACTTGCACCAAGCTCCAAGCGGTCAATACGTCATGTGTTGGTTCATTATAACTTGGGACGATTGCTAACCATGAACTTTAGGTGCTCAATGCGCGTTTCCCGTGGATGGGTCAGTACTCTGTGTTTCAGAGGATGCCCATGCCATGCAATCTGACTCTAAACAAATCAAAACTGGCTGATGCCATGTGATTTGGCTGATGCACGCGACTGTTCGTGACACAACCTATTTAGGGATGAACATCATTTTGCCATCGATTCATGCTATCACACAAATGTATTTATGCGTGGGTCAAAATGAGCAATATTAATAATAATCTTTTTTTTTAACGTGATTAATCTGTTACAAATATATATGGTTTCAATGAGGAACTTCAGCTCCCCGACTAGAGTTTATCCAAATGTTTTAAGTATATCCGAAATATTGTTGAATGAGTGAGTAATTATTGCTTAACGCTGTATCAGCAATCTTGTAGCTGTTTGCGGTATTAAACAACATTCACTTATTTTATCCCGATGAGCTATGAGGGAATGTTTAGAAACAACGTCCCTCAACTGTGCTATATCGTACCAGTTGATTCTTCTGTGTTTCTTGTATAACTATGGCCCCGCTCTATCATGTCAGCTAGTGTATAATCGAGTCTGGACCAGACAAACCAGTGATTGATATTATGAGCAACGCCAAACCCCGTCGGGGTACAAGGACAAGGAAAGAACCGAGTTATCGAACCTGACCACCGAGTTATCGAACCTGACCACCCGATCCATTTGGTCTTTTAGCCTCAGACCCTGCATACTGAATCATAATGTGTTAAACCGACTTTAAACCTCACGTTCAGTTCCCATACCAGCCTTCACTACCCATAAACGTTTATACACCATATCAATACAACAAACTTAATTCAGAGAATCTACAAAATCGTAACGTCATCATTAATAGGAGTAAGGTAATATTATATTTGTAAGTGCCATTTAAGAAGCTGTAGTGACAATTAAGACAGAATTGACAGGTGAGGTGAAATTGTGTGTGTGTGTGTGTGTGTGTGTGTGTATGTGTGTGTGCGTGTGTGTGCGTGTCTGCTTGTACTAGTCAGGACTAATGCCGATTTATAGTGCTAGCTTACTGAGATACCATGCCGCAGTTTAACATGAATACCCCACTCAGACACAGTATACTGACACCGAGCCGACCAGTCCGTGCTTTAGCCCATTAATGCCGAGCGCCAGACAGGGTAACAACAAGTACCATCTTTTAATGTCTTTTTGTATGACGCGGCCGGGGATTGAACCCCGGACCTTCCGCTCTCCGGGCGGACGCTCTACCACTAGACCATGGAGGCGGTCAGAATTGACAGGAATAACATGCTTGATAACGGTATAACCATATGTACTTGAAACATCCCTTTGGAATCACCTGATATATTCAATAAAATTCCTACCTTCTGTTTCTTCCAGACTCTTCACTTGACACGTTAATCCATCAGGTACCCCGTCCTCGTCTGAAAAGTTAAATTTCTATTAGTACATTTGAGTGCTTGTTTAACACTACTTCCCAGCAACAACGTCAACAATATCACGACGGAATTAATGCATCATTTAAATATTCCATACATGGGTAGTTTTGTTTTATTCATTCTTTATCTGAAAAGCAGGTTGATGATGCGAGAACCTGATCATGAGCAGCATCTGGTTGCCCTGTTTACGCGATCGTTTGTTTACAACGATGCAAGATGGCAACCGGCCAATGTATTTGTTTGTTTGTTGTTTATCGCCATACTCATCAATATTCCAGGTACATGACAGCGGTATGTACATTTTCGAGTTTGGACCAGCGGTCTGCCATCGGTGTTCGAGAACACACTATCACCTACTTCACCGAGCCTGACCACCCGATCCTTTGGACCACCTCTTAGGATCAGCATAGGTCCCTGGGCCTATTCTGACCCGGAACCCTCTCTGAGATTGGAGTTGTGGGGTTGGGGGTGGAGTTGTGGGGTTGGGAGATTAGGACAGGTTTGTATAATGTATTATCAAAGGTTACAATAGCTGATGTCTGAATATCAGGTCTGCGATTCAAATGAGTAAAGAACGTCCTTTCTTACAATGGGACCACGACACGAGAATTGTGTCTTATTTTTGCCAGAAGGAATAATTGATTATTGATTTGTATTGGCATCGAGACTCATTGTGTTTTGTCAATGAGTGTATACGTACCAGTGCGGAAACTCAGATGCGACAATAACGTACTTTGTTGTGTGAGAACACTGCATGAGGATTGTATGACATTATTTCCGCAGAGAATACCTTCACATCGCTTTGAAATGAACATAAGGCTTGTTTCTTAAAAAAATTTAAGTTTACTCAATGAATTATATTACGACTGAAAGAAGAGGTGTCATTTATAATAAAAATCCCATATCCAAGCTGGCTATGTTTCTAGGTTTGTCAGCACCATACCCGTGCTCTTGGGTTTCACCGAAGTGGTAAACGTCCGAGACCTGCATCACTTCAGGCTTTCCTCCCACATTAAGCTGACACAACGTGAGATTATTAAACAGTTTTACACGTTTGAATGCCAAGTTAAATCACACTCATTGCTACCAACGATGTGTATACAGGACTATTTGCATATGTACGTAGATGACATTTATTAGAGACAGGCCATTTAGTCATCACTTTGAGGCTAGGTCTTTTCCAGATTCAGAGCATTTTTCTTTAACATAATACTATTAATGGTAACGCGTTTATTAAAACAATCAAGCAAACTTGTTTCTTTCCGTCTTCTCTAGTCTCTGGATCACTTTGATGAAGGCAAGAATGTTCGGACGGGCTCTCTGGACGACCTTGTTAAGATGACAATGCCACCCTTCTAGATGATTCTTCGGGTTTGCCATGTCTAGATCTCTAACATGCCAATCTTCGATAACAAAATTTATATTTTATACTGGAAAATTTCCTTCTCAATGTTTATCATCAATTACATTAAAACATTATTCTTCTACTCTCATTTTACAGAAAATCCATATTTCCTGCTCCGGTTATCAAAGTACAATACCATCTAAGAAAATAAATTTATACAAAGGTCAAATATTTTCACAATCCCAGTAACATTTCTAAGGCATTAATTAGTCTGTGTTTACAGTGTAGGCATTAGTGAACACTAAGTAGAGTAGACCACTTGAGTGCAGGGGTGCGTGAAACAGTGTGTACACTAAAACAACAACTTTTGTAGGCATTAGTCACTGTAGGCATTTGTCACTGTAGGCATTAGTAGACCTAACCTATGAAACCGATCACATCTTACGGATGAGCGGTTATACGGTGAAATCAATCAATATTATGCAACGTTTCTCAAACGATTTCTCTCTGTCGGGAATTTTCCCAATATCATTTATCGCTTAAACTGACAAAACGTTTGTCTATTGTGAAACCACACAGTTGAGTTACCGTCTATAAACTCGCTTCAATGAATAATTTGTCAGGGAACATAAGACCTCAGTCACCACAACAAACATACTTGTGACACACACCTTCCAAAACCATAGTCAGAGTTCATGGTAGATATGAATTGTCTCAGTCTATCAACAAACATAAGAAACGGAGCATGTTGACATAGCTGTCGCTAGCAGAGTGTTTGACAACGACAGGCGTGGTCGCGGGAATTGATTAGAAATTCATGGCATGATGAGATATTATTGGTATACAGAAATAGACCCACCCACGTGAACCAGCAATACGCCTCCAGCTACCTGTCAGCACTTTGGCTTCCGTGTTCTCAGAGTGAGTGAGTATGGTTTTACGCCGCTTTTAGCAATATTCCAGCAATATCACGGCGGGGGGCACCAGAAATGGGCTTCACACATTGTACCCATGTCGGGAATCAAACCCGGGTCTTCGGCGTGATGAGCGAACGCTTTAACCACTAGGCTACCCGACCGCCCCCCGTGTTCTCAGATGCCTCTCTCTCACACAGCAAAGAAAGTGTAGGTTTCCGTTATCCGGAAACCTTCCGGATTCCTTCCCACTTTGGATCCGGCCCGGAAACCTTCCGGAAACCTTCCAAATACATTCAGCAACCTTCAAATTTCTTGGTATTTTTCAGATACTTTTTTATGTGTTGCACACTTAAGTGAACAAAATGCACCCCCCAAATTTTGACATTGTTTTTAAGGTTTCCGGAAGGTATCCGGGCCGGATCCAAATTGGGAAGGTATCCGGAAGGTTTCCGGATGACGGAAACTTACACTTTTTTTGCTGTGTCTCGGAGTGCCCTCAGAGGCTCTCCCTTCCTGTCAACTGCCATCTTCCCGAAGCAAGAGAGTTAACTGACTTTAAAAGTGGAAAGTGGACTTTTATAGTCAGTTAACTCACTTGCCTCGGGAAGATGGTCAACTGCAAGTCTTTGAATGTCTCTGTCATCTATGGCTCTCTTATACTATAATTGGAATGTCTGTCGGTATATTTGACCCATCAGGAGAAACGGGACCATATGGTGCTGGGATAATTGTGCTGTGATATCATAAAAAAGACGCTTGGCGTCAGCTTCCATAAACATAACCATGTGCGCGGACTGTACAAAAAAAACGAATTTTTCTCTCGTAAGTTCGTAACGTAATAAAAATAATAATAATCATTTCAAAACATATCAATACATGTCTTCTTTCAATTAATCCGACATTATTTCTAAAAACAACAGTTATTACATAATTAATTTATTGATGGACAATGTTGTAATTGTGTTCCCGCCGTGATATTGATGGATGTTGCTAAAAGCAGCATAAAACCATACTCACTCCCTGTAATTGTATTACATAGTTTCAAATGAGATTCAATAGAAGTTCATAGCATAGTGTTTTGACAATAATCAGTTGTGAGTAAATGTATTACTATCTATTGTAAGCAGTAGTTGTGTCCTTCCATTGAATTTTGTACTGCCGCTCTATTGTGTCCTCCCATTGAATTTTGTACTGCCACTCTATTGTGTACTGCCATTGAATTTTGTACTGCCACTCTATTGTGTCCTTCCATTGAATTTTGTACTGCCACTCTATTGTGTACTGCCATTGAATTTTGTACTGCCACTCTATTGTGTCCTTCCATTGAATTTTGTACTGCCGCTCTATTGTGTACTGCCATTGAATTTTGTACTGCCACTCTATTGTGTACTGCCATTGAATTTTGTACTGCCACTCTATTGTGTCCTTCCATTGAATTTTGTACTGCCACTCTATTGTGTACTGCCATTGAATTTTGTACTGCCACTCTATTGTGTATTGCCATTGAATTTTGTACTGCCTCTCTATTGTGTCCTGCCATTGAATTTTGTACTGCCACTCTATTGTGTATTGCCATTGAATTTTGTACTGCCTCTCTATTGTGTCCTGCCATTGAATTTTGTACTGCCACTCTATTGTGTACTGCCATTGAATTTTGTACTGCCACTCTATTGTGTACTGCCATTGAATTTTGTACTGCCTCTCTATTGTGTCCTTCCATTGAATTTTGTACTGCCACTCTATTGTGTACTGCCATTGAATTTTGTACTGCCACTCTATTGTGTACTGCCATTGAATTTTGTACTGCCACTCTATTGTGTACTGCCATTGAATTTTGTACTGCCTCTCTATTGTGTCCTTCCATTGAATTTTGTACTGCCACTCTATTGTGTACTGCCATTGCATTTTGTACTGCCACTCTATTGCGTACTGCCATTGAATTTTGTACTGTCCCTCTATTGTGTCCTGCCATTGAATTTTGTACTGCAACTCTATTGTGTCCTGCCATTGAATTTTGTACTGTCCCTCTATTGTGTCCTGCCATTGAATTGTGTACTGCCACTCTATTGTGTATTGCCATTGAATTTTGTACTGTCCCTCTGTTGTGTTCTGCCATTGAATTTTGTACTGCCGCTCTATTGTGTCCTTCCATTGAATTTTGTACTGCCACTCTATTGTGTACTGCCATTGAATTTTGTACTGCCACTCTATTGCGTACTGCCATTGAATTTTGTACTGTCCCTCTATTGTGTCCTGCCATTGAATTTTGTACTGCCACTCTATTGTGTCCTGCCATTGAATTTTGTACTGTCCCTCTGTTGTGTCCTGCCATTGAATTTTGTACTGCCACTCTATTGTGTCCTGCCATTGAATTTTGTACTGCCACTCTATTGTGTCCTGCCATTGAATTTTGTACTGCCACTCTATTGTGTATTGCCATTGAATTTTGTACTGCCACTCTATTGTGTCCTGCCATTGAATTTTGTACTGTCCCTCTATTGTGTACTGCCATTGAATTTTGTACTGCCACTCTATTGTGTCCTTCCTTTGAATTTTGTACTGCCACTCTATTGTGTACTGCCATTGAATTTTGTACTGCCACTCTATTGTGTATTGCCATTGAATTTTGTACTGCCTCTCTATTGTGTCCTGCCATTGAATTTTGTACTGCCACTCTATTGTGTATTGCCATTGAATTTTGTACTGCCTCTCTATTGTGTCCTGCCATTGAATTTTGTACTGTCCCTCTGTTGTGTCCTGCCATTGAATTTTGTACTGCCACTCTATTGCGTCCTGCCATTGAATTTTGTACTGCCACTCTATTGTGTCCTGCCATTGAATTTTGTACTGCCACTCTATTGTGTCCTGCCATTGAATTTTGTACTGCCGCTCTATTGTGTCCTGCCATTGAATTTTGTACTGCCACTCTATTGTGTACTGCCATTGAATTCTGTACTGCCACTCTATTGTGTCCTGCCATTGAATTTTGTACTGTCCCTTTATTGTGTACTGCCATTGAATTTTGTACTGTCACTCTATTGTGTACTGCTATTGTAATTGCTGTGCCGTAGTATTTACTGATGTGTAAACTTAGTTATTTTTTATAATACAATTGTTAATTGCGTACTATTTATCACTGATTACTCTGTAAGTAGCTATATTATTGAGGGTTTCGATCAGTTTATGTTTGAGTGTTTCACTATATCGTCGATTGTCTCTAGCAGTTTACGTTTGAGTGAATCCGTCAATAAATATATATATACATATATATATATATATGAACAGACATATATATATATGAACAGACATATATATATATATTTATATATATATATAAATATATATATATATATATATATATATATATATATATATATATACATATATATAATACAAAAGTCCAAAGATGAGCTGTATTATATAATACATACTAATATCTATCTATCTATTTTTATATCCATCCTCCTATCCATCATCTATCTATCTACTCGTATACATCTACTAGTATCTATCTGTCTATGAATATTGGAGTCTCAATTTTCACTCCCCAACTCTCTTATTTTCCATCGCCTCCAGTCGTACACAACATTACTTACCATCACATGGTAATCCTTGCTGCTGCTTGCTTATCACACGTCTTTAAATAAACACCGAAACACCACCCAAATCTTTGTACAAGTTTTAACAAGTGCAATCCAGTGTAGGAAAATATCCACTCAACACCGGGTTGTAGGGAGACATACAAACACAGCAGCACAATGGGAGGAATACAATAGACATATGAAGCCGTGTGTCTTGATTCACGACACAATGGCTGTAGTCGACTTCCTTGTGATCCGATCTATTCATCAACGTACTCCAAAAAATATCCTTTGTAAATATATGACCAACGTGTACATTCACAAGTGACTATCGGGGAGTGTCTACGTCAGAAGAATCAGCGGTAAGCCATCACTCCTCGGAAAGCCACGATAGCTACCCAGCCCATTGCTACATTGTCCTTGAACTTGAACCACTTTTCACTTTCTTGAAACCAAATGATTCACTGTGTGGGAACTCTCATCGAAACGTTCTCTACATAGCCCTGGTTATATCCGCTCATTGAATAACTGCTTGAATACTGCCTCGACTCAAATTAAACAGGAACATAATTCAGTTATGAGTCACCTAGTTAATGGTCAACTAACACAGCACATACGGTCAATTAGCAGTACATATGGTCAAGTACCATAGATCATATGGTCAGTTGAAAGTACAGTACACATGATCAACTACCCCAGCACATATGATCAAATAACACAGCAGTTGTGGTCAATCGAAACAGCTCATATTATCAAGTAACAGATCTGGTCCATCAACACAGCACATATGGTCCATCAACACAGCACATCTGATCAAGTAACATAGCACATATGGTCAACCGACACAGCACATATGGTCAACCAGCACAGCACATCTGATCAAGTAACATAGCACATATGGTCCACCAACACAGCACATCTGATCAAGTAACATAGCACATATGGACAAGCACAGCACATATGGTCAACCAGCACAGCACATCTGATCAAGTAACATAGCACATATGGTCAACCGACACAGCACATATGGTCAACCAGCACAGCACATCTGATCAAGTAACATAGCACATATGGTCCACCAACACAGCACATCTGATCAAGTAACATAGCACATATGGTCAACCAGCACAGCACATCTGATCAAGCAACATAGCACATATGGTCAACCAACACAGCACATCTGATCAAGCAACATAGCACATATGGTCAACCAACACAGCACATCTGATCAAGCAACATAGCACATATGGTCAACCAGCACAGCACATCTGATCAAGCAACATAGCACATATGGTCAACCAACACAGCACATATGGTCAATCAACATAGCACATATGGCCAACCAACACAGCAAATATTGGTCAACCATCATACGATATGTGGCCAACAAAGACAACACACCACAGACAGCATATCACTACTAGAGACTGACGACAAACGGCCCGTTATTATTAGCCTATTGTAGGTGTCAGAATCAATAACCATCTCACAAGCAGGAACCCTTCCGCATAGGTAGTTGTTATTTCTTGCACCGGGGTGAAATCATTAAGACTATTTGACATGGGGGTAATGACGACCACCTGGTCGATCTGAGTCGTGTTTTATTGTGGGTTTCAGATTGAAAGGGCTTAGAATTCATGTTGAACTACCTAGATGTATTGATCTATCGATAATGGACGCACTAATACTAGATGCATGTTCGTTTTGATTCAGGCACGATAATTTCTTCACGGTTGATATTGTCATTATATTTATGGCTATCATATTTACCGCTGTTACCGCTATTATTATTATGATTATGATTATGATTATGATTATTATTATTATTAAACCTTTGCAGTACACACCAAACACTAAGCTATATTTCGAAAGTTCATTGTCAGGTCATGTGCATGTATTTCATTATCGTGATAATAGGTATCATCATCATCATCATCATCATCATCATCATCATCATCATCATCATCGTCGTCGTCACAATCGTCGTCGTCGTCATCGTCGTCATCATCATCATCGTCGTCGTCGTCGTCATCGTCATCGTCATTGTCGTCATCATCATTGATAGAACCCAGCTCCACTCCGGAGACAATAGGATGAGAAGTTCCTCGTTAAATCCTCCCAATACTGAAACCCTGCTGTGATTTCACGACACAGCTCCATGCTACTGGGAGCACTTACAATAGGTGCTGGCAGATTGAACACCTACTGTGTTCGTGACAGTACACACTGCAGCCATCTGCTGTCCACACAATGTAGGTACTATAGCCGCTAGCAGCTGTCCACATTGCAATCAATACTCGCATTGATATGGGTGAGGACACACCATATGCCTTGACACCTACCAAGCAGGAAACAGGGAACAGCTTTCTGTCGCAAACGCCTTTCGTCGACAATGGGCAAACTGACATATGAATTATATTTATAAAAAGCAAATATAAAGAGAAATGAAAAGCGAATCAGAGGAAATTAAGTCGTGTACAGTTTCGTTTTAATATTTATCTACAACTACTACAACTACTACACCTGCTACTGCTACTACTGCTGCTACTGCTGCTACACCTACTACTACTGCTGCTACTACTGCTACTACTGCTGGTACTGCTGCTACACCTACTACTACTGCTGCTACTACTGCTACTACTGCTGCTACTGCTGCTACACCTACTACTACTGCTACTACTACTGCTACTACTGCTGCTACTGCTGCTACACCTACTGCTACTGCTGCTACTACTGCTACTACTTCTGCTGCTACTGCTGCTACACCTACTACTGCTGCTACTGTTACTACTACTACTGCTACTACTGCTACTACTGCTGCTATTGATACTGCTGCTATTGATACTGTTGTTGCTATTGATACAGATACTGTTACAGACACTGCTGCTTCTACTGCTACTGCTACTACTACTACAAATATTAAAAGTACTGCTACTGCTAGTGCTACAACTACTATTACTACTACTGCTACTGTTACAGATACTGTTACTGCTACAGATACTGTTGCTGCTACTACTACTGCTACTTCTACTGCTGCTACTACTATTACTGCTGCTACTACAACTACTGCTGCTACTACTACTGCTACTTACAGGGATGAAAATAGACACAGTGTACAAGGAAAGTTGTATACAGTTTAGTTATAATGGTTATCAACAGTTACTCCAGCCACACCTGTAGTTATGATAAATCTCAACGAAAAAAGCCTCAAAATTAAAAAACAATGAGAGCTGGGCCGCCCGCCGCGGTCGTTAAAACACCAACGTACGTGTTTGTTCTGCCCCTATATAAGGTCAAGGTCGCATCTGTTCGGTGCAGAGTTGCGTCGCGTTGGCGAGCCAGACACATAAGACGATGGAACCGACGCCCGAATTCCTCTAATCAGAGACCATATAATTTATGTTTCTAAGTCTGTCAGCGCCATATCCGTGCGCATGGCTCGCTGACTTGGTCAACTGCGTGTATCGATGCTCATGATATTAATCACTGGATTGTCTGGACCAGACTCGATTATTTACAGAACGCCGTCATATAGCTGGATTATTGCTGAATGTGACGTTAAACAACGAACAAACAAACAAAACTCATACTGCAGTCTTCATTGGCTGCTAGTTAAACAACGGATAAAGTTCAAGCTGCCTAACGTTACCAACAACGCCATTTATGATCCACAGTACCCACAATATCTTCAAACTCTAATTTCACTTCAAAACCCCAGTCTCAGCGTGCTCTGTCGACCAAATGTATTTAATTGCACCTGACACCAAAACAAAATTAGGTGAACGATCGATCTCAGTCGCTTCTCCAACTGTGGAACTCACTACCTCTCTCCATCAGATCTTCCACTTACTCTGGCACCTTCCTGTCTTCAAAGAAGACATTTCTCTACAGAGAAGCCTGGTATATTGCTGAGTGCGACGTTAAACAACAAACCAACCAACCAACCGTGCTCATGTCTTTCACGAACGTTTTACCCGAAAAGATTGATCGATCCAAGAGGACTAGCGAATTATTACAGAAATAAGACATGTGAAGACGGATGCGACATCTCCACCTAAATCTCTAATCGAACAGGGCATATATCGATCTGTAATTAGCGCGTCGGAGACTCAGCTCAGGTGCGCTTAGGTTATTGAATAATGCTAACATGTAAACGCATGGAAATTTACGTGTTTGCCGATAGGAAAAAACAGTGAGGAAGCAGCCATAGCGACAGTCCTTACAGCGTGCTTGATTTTCTCTCAAGTGAGCATGGAGTGGGGTCTCCAGCTGATTCACAAGGATGTCGCAATTTCATATGAAACATCACCAAACAACAGATATAGCCACTTCTCTACAGGACTATATTCCCAGTAATGTAGCAAATTGGCTGCAGCGTTCGCGCACCACATCGGTAACCCTGGTTTGATTCCCTTATGGGTAGAAGGTGCGAAGCCCATTCTTGTCTTACTGTCTTAGATGAAAATCGAAAATCGCTGTGCAGAATTGCAGGATCCGCCATTTCCTGCATCCAATCCAAGGTTCTCCGTAATTATGATCCTAAGTTTGTTAGAACTTTTGGGTTTCACCAAAGTGGCGCATAGCTAAGATCCCTACGTCAATGGTACGCCGTGACGTACGTGACGCACTGTTCAAAGTGGCGCAGAGCTAAGATCCCTGCGTCAATGATACGCCGTAACGTACTATTCAAAGTGGCGCAGAGCTAAGATCCCTGCGTCAATGGTACGCCGTGACGTACCGTTCAAAGTGGCGCTGAGCTAAGATACCTGTGTCAATGGTACGACGTGACGTACGTGACGTACTGTTCAAACTGGAGCAGAGCTAAGATACCTGCGTCAATGGTACGCCGTGACGTACGTGACGTACTTTTCAAAGTGACGCAGAGCTAAGATACCTGCTTCAATGGTACGCCGTGACGTACGTGACATACTGTTCAAATTGGAGCAGAGCTAAGATACCTGCGTCAATGGTACGCCGTGACGTACTGTTCAAAGTGACGCAGAGCAAGATACCTGCGTCAATGGTACGCCGTGACGTACGTGACGTACTGTTCAAAGTGACGCAGTACTAAAATACCTGCGTCAATGGTACGCCGTGACGTATGTGACGTACTGTTCAAAGTGACGCAGAGCTAAGATACCTGCGTCAATGATACGCCGTGACGTACTGTTCAAAGTGACACAGAGCTAAGATACCTCCGTCAATGATACGCCGTGACGTACTGTTCAAAGTGACACAGAGCTAAGATACCTGCGTCAATGGTACGCCGTGACGTACGTGACGTACTGTTCAAAGCAGCGTTAATCCAAACCGACTCACTCACAAACAGCTTACAGAAGTATATATCGAATAGCCACACACGTGCTGCAATCTACAACCTGTCAATCACTCTCTCCACTGCCAAATCGTCTCGGTGGAACAGCTGATTTAAGAGAAGCTGTCGAGTCTACATGAAAGGTCCCGAGACAGCTATTTGGACCCAACTCGCTGTTCCGTAACTTCTTACAACCAGTATATTATTCTGTTTCGTTGCATGGTGGCACTTGACGTGTATTTAACATTAATTCGGACTCTGTAGTTTGAAATATATTGGGATTTACAAATACATATAAAATACTAGGTACCACTGGTGAGTAATTTTCAAAAACAGGGCATCCCATTTCACTGTCGTTCGGAATTTACAGAAATGTGGCTTTAGTGCTATCTCGATTATGAATAATGGATTTTAACTACTGTCATTTCCGTCTTCCCAACACGACCAAGCGTGAGGACTATTACTGGAAATGATATATTGAATTCTTCATGAACCGGGTTGCTGTGGGAGCTGATTGTCGTGATAGCTGATTACTGTGGAAAATATTTTGTGTAAATTCGAAACCGTGAACAGGTACCCTCAAATACAGGACATG